CAAATATTGAAAACAAAGAAAAGAAAATTTTTTTTTTTTTTTATTTCGTAAGAGTTCATTACCAAACTCTGGATGATTAGAAGTTTAGAGTCATTAATTCACAGTGAAGAAAAGTTACAATAAACACACTATGAAGCTTTGATACTGAAGTAATACGAAGATAAGAAGATGGAGGGAATGAGGAAGGGGGGGGGGGAGGGGGGAGTGGTAGTGGGAGTGGGTGAAAGAGATGACTGTGGGACTGTGGAGACTGATCCGAAAGATGTTTTGCTCTAGAAGGATCTCTCATTCATCATGTGCGTTTAACAAAGGAATTACAAAGAACACAACTCAGAAGGAAATCGGGGAAAGAGGACCAGAGGTTTTATTGGAATACTCAGTATCTTACATTACTGTTTAAATACAGCCTTCCCAAAATTTATATCTTGAAAATTTCTAATCTCTGTTTTTTACTTTTTTAAAGGCGTTGTTGGAGTTTTGATCTTCAGTAATTATATACTATTAGTGATTCTTGGTTGGTCTCATCAATTTTCAATTCAGCAAGATTATCAGAAGGTAAATGGCTTGAACATTCTGAATACTATGAATTTATACATAAAATTGCAATAGTGTTTTGTGGAGAAGTCATAAGCTTTGGATGCATAGTCATTTAATGTTGGAATTACGTCTCTGAAGATTGTTCAAGGGATTATTAGCAAGCTTGAATCACAAGGGACACCAATGAGTAACTTTGAGTTATCATCGGCTACTTGCTGTGAACTTAGGTAGGTTGAGGCCTACGTTGAGCATAGCAATTAATGGTGATAAAAATCATATCCAGAGTTCCAAACAACTAAATTGTAATGTATGAATGATTTTTCTGGATGACGTCTTTCATCATTTTAACTATTTACTTAGGCCTCTGAAAAAACATACAATTTTTATTCTCTTTCTCTCTTTCTTTGATGATTATAGAGGCATCATTACAAAAACATCATATTAGAATAGTGAAAAAACCATAACATTTATAACTCATGAATTCAAGCAGATTCACCATGACATCATATTTAGGTGATAGCTACAATCGTTAGAAGTGCTAATAAGTTTAAAAAAATTCAGCATAAAGAAGTACTTGATAATAAGTTTTGGCACAAATATCTAAAGTTCTCCAAACCTCAATTTATCCTTCTCCTAAAGATTTTAGTTTATAAGTGTTGTTGTTTGATAATTCTGGTTTCTTTTTTGTGTTATAGCTATAGCTAGCTATGTTTGTTTAAAGTGTTAAACAAAAGATACTCATTTGGGTTTTGTCTTCAGAAACAGTGATGCTTTAATATTTGAGACTCTGCCGACTTTTATACAATGTTTCCCGTTTATTAACAAACAAATATCAGATAACAAAAAAACAAACAATTCTCAACAGATATACAAGGAAGACACTAAGAAATGATGTAGTAACAGTTTTTTTTTAACATAGTTCAGTATTTACTTTATATATGTGTTTATTTAACATTGCAATAAAAATATGAATCTGAAAACACATGCATTATTTTAACATTTTCAAATTAATAAGACAATTGAAGATAAATGTATTTATGGAATTACAAATGTATAAAAATTATAACACATAAACCCGCACGTAGTATTTATAGTTTTTGTATGGAAGATAATCTATAAAGATCATTAGTGTGTAATATTTATAAATTTTGTGTGTTGTATTTATTAAATAGCTAAACTTAAAAACAATCATGAACTAATTAAAATTTATGATCGGAGTAAAGTCTACTCAGTTTAATGTCGAAAAATATAGTTAGTTTTTTGAGGATTTTCAATGTACCATATCACTACTTAGTAATAGTTATGGTGACCTACTCATTTCTGTGTTAGGATGGGAGACAATAGATACTGTTGCCATTATTTTATGCTTACCTGATAATATTACAAAGTAACCATCTTTTAACTATTTATCAAAACTAACCCAAATCTCTTCTCCAAGTTCCGTTTGCAATGGTTGTGAAATCTGTTCTAAAACTAACTTAATATTTAAGAAAATAATAAGACAACTGATAATTAGTTTGGAACTGTTCCATTTAACTCTAAACTAGAATCTACCTCTCGTACGAGAATTAGTTTGGAACTGTTCCATCTGCACGAGAATCATTTTTTGATCAAATTTTGTAATATAAATTGTGTTTTCTTATAGATATAATTTTTTAATAAGTGAAAAATATTTATTTTTATGTTTGGATTTAATTTTTTATTTAAATTTTATTTTTAATATTAAATATAACCAAAATTATAAAAATATAATTCTAACACGTCCATCTATTAATTTGAAAAAGATTGTGATTATAAAAACATAATTCTAACTCATCTGTTTATATTACAATAACCTATTGTTTATCATCCATTATTATGAAAATATTATGTAAATTTGAATATTTAAATTAAATCAAAACTAATGTTTTATTTATTGTTTTTATAAAGATATATATAATAACAACTAATTTGTGATGTTTTAATAACTTATCTATTCTAGATTTATTAAAATAAAAATTAATCAAAATTAAAATTTGAATTTTCGAGTTTATTTTTAAATATAAATTAAAATAAGTTTTTTTTATCAAAATTATATTAAATTAAATTAATTTATTTGGTAATAGAAATAATAGTTATCCAAAAACAGAATACTCTACAATGAAGGAAATCATGTTTGAACACAAAAAAGTGTTTCTGTTTTAATAGTAGATATAGTCTTCTTTTTAGGAAAATTGCAGTTAATAACCAACAAAAATTTAATATTTAAAGGAATAACCATATAAAAATGATGGTTACTATATTCTATGTATTATATACAATATATACAAGTTTATCTTTTAACTTCCTCACTCGCAGGACATAACCTATTAACTTTAATCTGTAAAAGTAAATATGTAATTGTTGGTTTTAACTCATCCACATAATATAATCAGTATTTGAAAAAAAATATGGGGAAAGAACTTTTAAAATCGGGAGAAAGCTTTCTCTTTGAATTTTTATTCTAAAAAGAGGGTAATTGACAAAAGTGAAGAACAGCGAAGATTGAAGAGTGATAAAGATTTCAAGTTAAGTGAAGAGTCATCGAAGATTGAAGAGTGAAGAACAGCGAAATACTGTAAATTATTTTGTTTGTGGTTTTGATTTATTGCATACCAATGAAAAATGGGGAAATGTTGAGGAAGGTTGTGTTTGGGTTTGTACTCGTCGATGCTGATACAATAAGCTGTATAAGCTTTGAATCGAGAGGAGGAGGCGACGGTTCTGGGTCAGACGGTGGTCGCGGTGATGAATCAGCCGGTGGGCTAGGAGGTGATGAGGAATTAGCCGGCGGAGGAGCAGATTTCTCCAACGAATTAGCCGGCGGCGGACCTGAATCTGTTGGTTAATTCTGGGTTTGGGTTTATATTAACAATATCAATTTCAATTATGGGTTTGGGTTTTGTTGGTTATCGTTGATGATGTCGCAATAAGTTGTATAAGATGAAATCGTCGATTCTGGATTATGGGTTCTGCAATTAGGCTGAAATAATCGAAAATTTTGGGTTTCAGATTAAATGAAATTAGAAGTTCTATTTTAGGGTTTTTGCTAAATTGATTGACTATGTAGTTTATATAGAATGACTACATGTGAATCATTATTATATCTGTCCGTGTTTTCTATGTATATATACGTGAACGAGTTTTTTATTGATAGAATTTTCTATAGATTGTTTATATGTATATAGAACTTTTGTTTGACTCTTTGAATGTATGCTTTTATTGTACCTAATAACCAACAAAATCATGAACGTATTTAACTGACTTCATGGTCAAGTGTTGCCTGCTGGATCTGAAAGTTTCTAGACTCATCCATAATAACAGCATACACACACCACTTGCATGACTTACAAACACAATTTAAAACCATGAATGTAAGGGCTGAGTGCGTTGTCCGAAAGTGGAACTTCTTCTGTATGGCATGAATGACAATCTTGATTTTACAGTCTACTTTAGATTTGAACACCCGACCAACAAATTTGATGTCTCTTTCTTAACGAATATCTGCCAAAGCGGAATCCACAACTGCAATATCGAAACTTTGTTATGTATGCCTACTCAATACGAAAATGTAGATGGACTATAAAATCAAGTTCACTAATATAAAGAATGTCTGCATATATGTTGTACTAATTTAAATAATTGCATAACAACTTATATCAGTATAGTTTGACTATTTTATATTATAACTTGTCTATAACTAAATTATTATATAGACGGGCTACATATTATAATACTTTAAATTGTAATATATTATCATATTTCCAGACCGGTCGTCGTTATATACTGGTGGTGCATCCCGGTCAAACAGAATTAATATGACTCTTGATGGTAAGAACATATTTAATGGTAGTAATTTTTATTTCCGTCCATATAAAAAATGCAGAGAAATTAATTTTTGAAAAGTTAAATAATATTTATATGTTATGTTAGGAATTAGATTCTACTAACACAAATTAGTTGTAGATAATGTATGCCTCTGCACATTTGAGAGTACATTATCTTACTTGCTTTTTTTTACCATTCTTATCTACACAAAACTATTTTCGTCTCAAAATCATGGATTTTGTTATTTGTTTTATTACGTGATTTTTATGGCTATTTTTTTATTAGTTTTTGAATTTTGATTGTTCATTTAAGTATCTTTTATTTTTATTGTTATTTTGATTTGTCAAAAGAAAAATTTTGCAAAAGTCTTCCAATTGTATTAAAAAAATTACTAATATAACAATGAGACCAAGAGTACAAAGTTTAAACACATATATATATATATATATCCAAAAAAGTCACAAACTTTGACGAGACAAAACAGTAAACGAAGAATAATAACATTCAAACCTTTCATGTAAGCTTTCAACTTTCCCTTTCAACAACTGTCATAAATATTGGTCAAAGCTTTTATCAATCCCCAAAATATGACAATTAACCTCACGCGTAGCTACTTCTTCTTCTTCTTCTTCCACTGCCATGAAAGGTCTTCCTCTCTTTCTCCTCACCCTTGTTCTCATCCCTCTTCTAAACCCAATTTCAGCCATCGATTTCGTCTTCAACGGCTTCGATGGCTCTCCCTCTTCCTCCTCGCGTCTCTCTCTTTTCGGGAACGCTACAATCGAATCCCGAATCCTTACCTTGACCAACCAAACAACGCTTTCGATTGGTAGAGCTTTATACAGCAGAATCATCCGTACAAAAGACCCATTAACTTCCTCTGTTCTACCTTTCTCTACTTCCTTCATCTTCACCATGGCTCCTTACAAAAACACGCTTCCTGGCCACGGAATCGTCTTCCTCTTCACACCTTCCACTGGAATCAACGGGACTAGCTCAGCTCAGCACTTGGGTCTCTTTAATTTGACCAATAACGGTGACCCTAGCAATCACGTCTTCGGAGTTGAGTTCGATGTCTTTGCTAATCAAGAATTCGATGACATCGACGCTAATCATGTCGGAATCGATGTTAATTCGCTTAATTCGATTGATTCCAACACATCTGGGTTTTGGTCGGAGGAGGAGGATGGTGTGTTGTTTAAGCCCTTGAAGCTCAACGATGGAAGAAATTATCAGGTTTGGATCGATTACAGAGATTCCGTAGTCAATGTCACTATACAGGTCGCTGGTAAGACTCGACCTAAGATTCCTCTGCTTAGTAAGTCTCTGAATCTCTCTGGAGTCTTGGAGGACGAGATGTTCGTTGGTTTCACAGCAGCTACAGGGAGATTGGTTCAGAGTCACAAGATCTTAGCTTGGAGTTTCAGTAACACGAATTTCTCGTTGAGTGATAGCTTGATCACAACTGGTTTGCCTTCGTTTGTTCTAGCAAAGGAATCAGTCGTTAGAAAGAAATGGTTTGCTTTTGTATTGGCGTTGGTCTGTTTCCTGGTCGTTGCTTCGGTTTGTTTGGTTTCGTTTGTTGTGGTGAGAAAGAGACTGGAGAGGTTGAGGAAGAGAGCGTTGATGGAGGATTGGGAAATGGAGTATTGGCCTCACAGGATTTCGTATGAGGAGATTGAATCAGGGACCAAAGGATTTGATGAGAAGAATGTGATAGGGATTGGTGGGAATGGGAAAGTGTATAAAGGTTTGTTACAAGGAGGAGCTGTAGAAGTCGCGGTGAAGCGGATTTCGCAGGAGAGTAGCGATGGTATGAGAGAGTTTGTAGCTGAGATCTCGAGTCTTGGGAGGTTAAAGCATCGTAACCTAGTTTCTTTAAGAGGTTGGTGCAAGAAGGAGATTGGTAGTTTCATGTTGATCTATGATTACATGGAGAATGGAAGTTTAGACCGTTGGATTTTCGAGGGAGACGAGAAGAAACCTACGCTAAGCTGCGAAGAGAGGATCCGGATTTTGAAAGGTGTGGCTTGGGGAGTGTTGTATTTGCATGAAGGATGGGAATCTAAGGTTTTACATAGAGACATTAAAGCAAGCAATGTGTTGCTTGACAAAGATATGATCCCAAGGCTGAGTGATTTTGGGCTAGCTCGGGTACATGGGCATGATCAAGCGGTTAGGACCACGAGGGTGGTTGGTACGGCTGGTTATTTGGCTCCTGAAGTGGTTAAGACGGGTCGTGCATCGACGCAAACAGATGTGTTTGCTTACGGGATACTAGTTCTTGAAGTGATGTGTGGGAGGAGACCGATTGAAGAAGGGAAGAAACCGTTGATGGATTGGGTTTGGGGACTAATGGAGAAAGGTGAGGTTATGAGAGGACTCGATCCTCGGATGATGGTTTCACAAGCTGTTGTTGAGGAGGCTGAGAGGGTTTTGCAGCTTGGTTTGCTTTGCGCACATCCTGATCCGAGTAAGAGACCGTCGATGAGACAAGTGGTTCAAGTGTTTGAAGGTGAGAAAGGTGAGATCTTTGAAGCGGAGAGTAGCGAAGATGTCGAGTCTTGGATGCTGAAGAAGATGGGATCTCAAGGAACCTCACGAGAGTTTTGGTATGGAAGCTCGTCGCATCCGACAATAGAGCAGCTGAGACTTCAGTCTTTGTCTGTGTCTCTCTCGTCTTGGAATAGCTCTATTTTAGAAGGTAGGTGAATTGATGAATAAATGGCTTAAAGAGACGTCATGAATGTAGTTATTTTGGTGCTCCTTTACTTTGTTTCTTGTTGTGTACATGTATTACGGTTTTTGTAAACGCATGACATTATACATGTATTAATTTATTTATTTTTGGGAATATGTTTCAATTTATCTATTATATTAAAACAGAAGCACATTTAGTACTTGCTTCTAAACACTCTTAATTTTTTTTAAGTGTTTAAAAATAATTTTAATAATTATTTATATTTAATTTCGAAAATTAGTTATTAAATTTAAATATTCTTAGAATTCTTTAAATATAGGTAATTTAGATTTGATTTGATTTGATTAAAAATAATAAATCAGATATTAATTTAGATTTGATTTAAAGATTTTAATTTAAATAATTTCTATACTATTAAACATTTTTATCAAAAATATAAAACATAATTCATATAAAAAAAAATAATGGTCATATTTGAAATATAAAATATTTATAATGATGTAAATTATATGATATTTATGTTGTTTATATAATATATTTACGATTATGATTTATTTACAAATTAATAATAAAATAATAGGTAAAATTCAAATGTATAATTTAAATATTAAAAATATATTTTTAAAAATTCATAGAACTAAAAATATATAAAAAAACCGGGTTAAAAATATTTTGGTAACTAAAATCACTAATTTTGAATTATACATATATATCAAAAATATATTTTTCATACAAAATCAAAACATAAAAAATTAAAAATTATTGCATACACTATAATGTGGTTTGAAAAACCAGTTGTACACTCCTTTCGTTGATTAAATTTTAGAAAATTATAATGCTAAATAATATTGTTAATACATCTTAAATTTTTAACAAATATTTATATTATACAGTAATATAAACGGAAAAGTTAGAATTATGTTTTTATAATAGTTTATTTTGAATTATTATTAGCGGACGGGTTAAAATTATATTTTTATAATCATAATTAATTTTAATACTATAAAAATATATCTAAACACAAAAATCAATATTTTCACTTATTAAAAAATATATTTATAAAAATAATTATATCTAAACTCAAAAACCCAAATTATATTACAAAATTCGTTCAACAATAAAAAATATTCTCGTGCAGATGCACGGGGTTATAATCTAGTTTATTTTAAAATAGAGTATATATATGTAATAACTAATAAACATATAGTTTTTGCGTGAGAAATTAAAAAAAGTTTGGTAGATAATTTAAGGAAACTATATGCAAAAAGTTTAAAACTTCTTTGGTTAAAGAAAAGATAATTGTGATTCATTATATGTATATCCAGAATTTTGTTTCAAAAGTTATCTGACATGGCTTTACCAAAAAAATAATATTCTGAGATGGTCTAATTTACACATATTAGTATAAAAGGGACCCTGAGTATGATTGTATGAAGATCTTAATAAAATTCTTAATTGTCACGGGGCACATGTAACAATAATATAATGCATATGGGATGCGAGAGAGGTAAAAGAAAAATGTTTACATCTTTGGGAAGAGCACAAAGTTATGGTCTTGAATCTTATAATGTTTGAAAGGTGTATTATACAAAAAAGGACAAAAGTTAAAAACGACAAAAGATTCGATGTTGGGGGTGTGCCCAAAATTTTTCTTTTTATTATGGAGGGTCAAAATCCAACAAAAAGAACGTGATTCTTATTTGTTTTCTAAAAAACTTTTTGATTATTCGACTGTAATATTAGAAAGTTGGTTAACGGCATTCGTTGAATGAAATGAAAAACACTAACCTATAGAAGTCGAGGAACATAAATAAATATAATTAACGGCATTCGTTGAATGAAAAACACTTAACTAAAAACATTCGGTAAAGTACCTTTGAAACCAAGCTATTTTTAATCACTTTTCCGTGTCAAAGGTTAATTATGGAAATATTAAAAATGATCCAGTTACTCCAAAGTCCAAACAAATACATTTGAAATCAAGCTATAGTAAATAGAGATATATAGACTGGGGTATTCAATTCATTTAAAAGTCTTTTAAACTAATGTTTCTTTTATTGTTTTGTTACAGTACAACATGATTATTCATCAAGAAATGTCAAAATACACCATTTTATGTTTTTCTCAAGCTCTTCTCTCATGGAAGTAGATAAAGAAGAGATCCCAGAGATGCAAAATCCTTTTCAATCCGAAGAAGATGAAGAAGAAACCTCGTTAGGAAAGAGAAAGATAAGTAAGTTGTTCATTTACAAAATTAAAGAAAAAGAAAGAAAAAAAAAACCATCAACTCAAGTTTAGTGTTTTTGTCTTCAAATTAACAAGATTGATTTGACCCCCATAGATCTAAAAGTCCCAATAATTTGATGTTGGCAGGTTCGATTGTGAAGACAGAAGATGAAAGGGAAGTGAAGAGAATAGCCTTCTTTTCCCAAGAACCTCCAGTGATAGAAGACGACGAAGAAGACATGGATATGATCGAGGATTATCAAGAAAGAGAGGTTCATAGAGATATCATGGAAGATAATGTTCCTGAAGAAGAGTGTGTTGTTGACTTTGAAGGATTCTTTTGAAACCTACCTTTTCTTGGCATCTGCGTCACTTTTTCTATCTTTGCTTGGCTGCTTCCTATGTTTTGTAACTTTTAATTATTTTGGTAACTAAGAAATTATATGCCTTAAACCCATAATTCCTTGGATTAGAGACACAGAGGAGATTAAGTATCAGCGGTATTCGAACTGATCTCTCCTTTGGATGGCCATGGAAACCATGTAATCTCATGTAATTAATTTTGTATAGGAAATGAAAACAACTTCTCTTTCTTTGAATTGGTCCAAAATCAAAACTAGAGACCAACAAAAATGGTACATTTCAATCATCTCAAGCATCAATTTCTTCTTAGTTTTAGGACATGATGGCTGAATCTGTTTGATCAGGATCTGTCTGAATCTCATGTGCAAGTTGTCTTGTTAAATGATCTGCTCGTTCATCATGACCTCCTGCAAATGTATAAACCTTGAAAGCAAATTGAAAAGCCCTCCATAGCCGTTTACCTCTCTCTGCCTTCATATTATCCATCTTGCTTTCTTCACTGTTCTTCGTCTCCTCGTTCGCTTCTCTCCTCTCCTAGAAAACATAGAGAGATCTAGTCAGTTTCATTCATCTCCGAGGATACAAATACTTGATTTGTTATGTATAAAAAACCTTTAGTGCTAGCTCCATGCAATTTGATGAAACATCAACCATAGTTTCTTTGACTTGAACAAGAACTTCGAAATCGATATTTATGTTGTGTCTCTGAAACATTCTAGCCTCTTCTTCTTTTGTTCGTTCCACCGTTTCGATTTCTCCTTTAAATTTGTTGAAGTAACGCTCTATCTTGTCGAGAAGATCGTTTAATGGAGGCTCAATTTTCCAGTTCTTGAGCTCAACTAGAATCTGATCTAACTTCTTGTACAAGGCACCAGCTGTTCTAATTGCTTCTAGTTTCTTCTCAGGGAAACCTTCAAACCTTGCGAGAACCTAAGCATCCAAAACAAAAAAGTGTTATATACATTGCAAATATTTCGTTGGAAATCAGCGAGTCGATTCAAAGAACAAGGAGATAACATACTTGAGTTTCATCAGTTAGTTTCTCAAGAACAGATTCCACTTTGCTATGAAATTCGAGCAATTCTTTCATGTCTTTTGTCTGGAAATGCTGTATTGAAGATTTCAGTTCATCTATTGCTTCTGCGTATTTTCGCACATCTTCTTCGATTTGCTGGAAATAACTCGATCTGTGACACAAACCAAAGTGTAAAAACAAACTCAGCAAAATATAGATTAAGACTTGTGACGCAAGTATCTACCTTTTTGTCATCTCTGCAAGTGCGTCAGCCATTCCTGATCTTGCACCTTTAACAGGAGATTTCTCTGCAACATTCTTCTGCCCTTTATTTGCTTTTGTTGTTTTTCCTTGTACGCCACGGCCTTCAAGCTTTCCTTTGAGAACCCAATACAGATTAGCAATTTGTGCTGATCGTCTCAATTTGCTAGTTGCTTTCTTGGCACGCAAGGATCTTCCGCTACCCGGCGGTGCCGGAGGTGCCGGCATCGACGGAATATTATCGCCATTTACAGATTCCGGGTTCTGAAGTTGACAAAAATCTCCACAATCATGTGTTTTTGAAGGTGGTGGCGGCGGTGGAGGAGTCAAAGCTTTTCTTTCCGGCTGTGGTGATGATGGAGGTGGCGGTGGCGGTTGTGAGACCGTTGGTGACGGCGATGGTGGTGGTGGTGGTGGAGAAGGTGGAGCCAGTTGAGTTACTGAGATTTCTTCTTGAAAAGATTCTATTGTGCTAGTCTCTGAAGTTGTTGTTTCGCTATGATGCTCTGTTTCACTCTCATGCTCTGTTCCAGAACCTCTGATATGATCAGTCCCATTCTCTGTTTCATAACGTTTGTTGTGATGCTCTGTTTCGGAACCTTTGCTATGATCCTCTGTTTCTATATCATGTTCAGTTTCTGAAACAGAGGAACCATTTTCTTCTTCTTCTTCTTCTTCATTCTCTGCTAATTTCTCACTCTCTTCTTTTTCTTCTTCGATACCATGCTTAAGATCAAGATCAGCAACACTCTCTGAATCTCTTTGCGATAATATCTGCATAGCGAGCTGCTTCAAATCAGCAGGGCTTAACTTATCCAAAGCTTGAGCTCTTAAGTTCCAGAGGCTTGGAGATGTTGAGTTACTACTAGACATCATCATCGTACCGGGAAGAACCGATCTCGGTGTTAATGGAGATGGGTAAAAAGAGTTGTAACTTTCAGAGTATGACACAGATCTTGTAAAACTTCTTCTTGCTTCTGATGGAACACTTTTTCCTGTAAAACTCTTTCTTCCATCAGATTCAAGATCCATCATACCGAATCTTTCTCTTGTCATCTTGATAAGTCCATCAAGAGCTGCTAAAACATGCTCCACTGCAAAGAAGAAGAAGAACAACAAAAAAAAACCTTAACTCTCTAAGTTTAGAAAGATCATCAACTAAATAAATACAACAAGTTTTTAGTGAACAAACCAAGACGATCTGACTTATTCTTCCCAACTCCACTGTTCTTGTACTTAGATCGATAAATCCAGTCACTATCCATAATCCAAGAATCACCAATAGCTCTGAGATCCTCGTAGAAGAAAATCAACATCTGTTTTTGGGGCATTTCTGGGATTCATCAATCAGGTCAACAAGACTCATCAAGTAAACAAAGAACAGTTTTTGCGCTAACTCAAGAATTGTTATTGTTTTTTTTTTCTTTTTTGTAGGAATAATGTTTTATTATGTAACTCAGAAAACTGTTTAAATCACTTTGTGTACCTTATCAATCTCAGCTCCTTCCATTTCAAAAGACTGATTAATGGTTACAATCTCTGGAGAAAGCTTTTGTAGATCCTTCATTGTATGTGTTATGATCTTGAAAAAAAATAATAATAATTCAGAAACAAAAGGAGAAAAGATCTTATCAGTTACACTCTCTAACCCATCAACCAATATGTCAAATGCTTATTCAAACTCAAATGATAATGTTAAGTTTATCTAAAAGGCAAATCAATGAATTTACAAACCGAAAAATTTGGTTTGGATTTGGTTCTTGACTGAATATATAAACCAAAAAAAAAAACCGAATGAAAATTCCAACGCCGCTCCTTCTTATTCTCTGAAAATGTTATGTTAAGAGAAATGATCACCTCGGTGACAGATAAAGAACCATCAAGAGAAGGCAAATCAATCATATCTCTGAAAGCGAAGATGTTCTTCCTCAACTCCACCATTAAAATGAAATTCGCAGAACATTTCGGCGAAGAACCTTCGATATTGTTGTTTCTTGGTGTACTCGGTTTCTTCTTTTCATTCTTTACCGGCACGCCTGAAGCAAAAGCTTGTTTTGTAGAACTGAAACTCTTCGGAGAAACTTCTGCAACGGAAGATATTTGTGAAGCTGTGCGTTTGATATTTTTAGTGTTCTTTTTCTCGACATTGTTCTTTGTTGTTGATACACGTCTAAACTCGTGTTTGCCCTTGATAAGCCTCTTTAGAGCAAGCCCTCTCGCAACCTACATTATAAAAAAGCCTAGATATTTCAATTAATTTGTGCATGATGTTTTAACATGTAAAAAACCCATGTTGTTTCTACATTTGTATTTAGATATGAAAAAAAATTAGAAAAAAAATTCAAGAATCTTGTCGTTAATAGGATTTTAACATGGAAAGGCAAAAGCAAACGCGATGGTTGAGAAATTACTTAGCAGGATTTTAACATCTAAACTGACACTTCGTTTGTATTTGGCGTTTGCGTTTGCAAATAAACTACATGATAGCCTATATTGTAAAAGACAGAAAAACCTGCAATCTTGACAGCTTGCGACAGAAAGTTATTGGCGTGAAACCACAAAGCCTCCCGCTCGACATTGCAAGTTTTGAAGTCGAAAAATACAAAAAAAAAAAAAAAAAAAAAGATTCAACCAAAAGGGGTTTAATCAGGAGAATTCATTAGAAAGAGAATCTTTATCTTTCTTGAAGAATATTTAATCAGTTAATTCTGTAAAAAGAAGACCTGCCTTGGAAAAAGGTTTTGTTTTTCTTCAAGCATTTTCAGATGAGAATGAGACAAATAGAACTCGGAGATCTTTCTTCCTCTCTATCTCTAGCTATTTTGGCTATTCTTAGACAAGTGTTAGATGATAGAAATTGTTGACTATTATTGTCACTGCTAATTCTTTTAAAAAAACTTTAAGAGTTCTTTAGCAAAAAAAAAAAAAACTTTAGAGTTCTCGTGAAGGTTATACTAAAAATTGCAGAAGCAGAGAGAGTAGATAAGGTTTAAAATTAGCGTTCATAGAAGTAAAATCAACCTGAGTATTACCGTTAGAGTTTAACTGTTATTCTTAGGTTTACGAAGCTTTTCTTTTCAACCATTGAATTTTTTTTAGTTCTTTAACTAGATTTACTAAGGTGTTAGATTGGTTCATCCACTATCACCCGCAAACGCAGTATTTGCGGTTGGTAGTGGTTAGTGGCGTTTTATCACAATTATAGAAATCGCTGCAAACTGCTCTGTATCGTTTTATACCGCTGAAATCCAAAAGCAAAAAAAAAAAAAAAGATTACGTTAAAAACAACTATAAAACCATAACTCTACTAATCTTCTCCTATATATATATAAACCATAACCTCTCACTTTTTATATCAAGTTCTAATCTCTAATCATGGCTTTCATATCAGTTGAAGAAAATTAAGTTACAAGCATAAGTGTCATAATACTTTGGTTTAATTCATTTATATTAATTGTTCTGTTTTCACTTAATATAAAGTAAGAAATTAGTTTGTTATAATTTATTTATAAGTGCAAAACTAAGAAATTATAAATATAAATTTAGTTTGTTATAATTCTTTTTTTATTCTTCAGAAAGTTACATGATCAAACGAAATGACATGTGTGTTACTTCAACAGATCATTGTAGAAAAACAAACTCAAAATAAATATTATAGATTTTTAAGTGCACTCCAAAAAAAACGTATTTTGAAGAATACTAATGAGCAATTTGGAGTTGATTTGAATTGGGATCATGCAAAAAATCGATTAGATCAATTGAAAAAATTTTACATCATGCATAAGATAAATCCAGAAGATCCACATATTAGAGCAAACTTTTTCCAGTCTATTACATTACTAAACACAATTTTGGGTGATGTTCCCAATAATTGAAATAAGACATATTATTATAAAATTTATTAGTTTTTAAAATAATTATTTAGTATTTATTTATAATTTTTATTAATTATTTTGAACTAGTGATTTTGATATTAATCATAATAATATAATTTTCTGGTTTTTTTATAATTATATATGATGTTTATTTTGATAATTTTATGTTTAATTGCTAAACCGACTGTTGGTTTGCCAGTCAAAAATGTCCCGTCTTAAAAAAATTAACCAGTCGTGCAATAACGTTTAAAACCATAATTGTCCGCTTCTGCAAATTTCCGTATTCGCAACCGTAACCGCTGCGTTTAAACTAGTCAAACCCAAACTCCAATATAGATTCAAGTTAACAAGCTGGAGAAATATTAGAAGGAAAAAAAAAACCCTTATGAGAAAGAAGCAACCGTTTTAAGTGCGTGGATAAAACCCTTATGCTCCTTATGACCATGCATGCCAAGTTTTAAGTATAGGAACTGCATAGAACTGGAGTTATTGCCATGCTCTCTATGTTGCTCTTGGGTTTCAAAACTTGTTCATCATTTTTCTAAATAGAAAATGTATTGAACTTTTCTGTTTATTCGATAACGCAAAATTTAGTTGTATGTTTCTCTAAGTAAATATTCACATTCTATTCATTAGTTGTATGTTACTTAACATCATGACATTAACAAAATTTGGACTTATCAAATATATACATACGAAAACATTCAATACATGCATTTCCTATTTAGAGAAATTTCTATTATATTATTTAGGTATGCACATTTAAAAAAAATAACCTTTATGTTATAAATTATTACATCAAATACCATTACAAATAACAAAGAATAATTAAAATAGAAAAAGATATAATTGTCTTTCAAATCTATTGAAAACTATATAGAAAGTATGTGTTTCTCATTTAATAGAGTATATTTACTATTTAATTTCTGAATTTAAAAATATGATATTTTCTTATATTTTTTGTTTCAAAGGGATTATATACTATATTTAATTAAAAAGTGAAAAAATCAATTAAATAATATGAAAAGTCAAAATTAAACGTTATAATATTAAAAATAGTAAAATATGTTTTTACTATAATTTTTAATATATACTTGATTATAAAAAAAAAATTTCAATAATTTTTACCAAAACTTTAACATAAAAAAAAATAATTAGAATGAGAGTCATTAAACAGTGCATATTCGAATTGTTTTTTTAAGTTATATTTTAATCCAGTACAAACAAGTTAAGTAAACAGATTAATCTAATATGAACAGGTTATGATTCTAATTTTTAAACTAGTGAACTTGTCCACGCCTTGCGTGGGCTGATATAATTTTCTATTTTATTGCTTGAAAATTTAATAGTAGTTTGAAGTTATTTGTTTTTTTTTTTTGTTTTTTTTATTATTGAGTATGTTTGTTTATTAGATTTCTTACATTTTTAATGTTTGAAGACATGATCGTGAAAACAGTATAGAAGAATGTAGATAAAAACATATTAGTATCCATTGATCACTATTCTATGTATTTAAAATGTAGTTTTTTGAAGTATCGTACAGACTCATTTGAAGAAGAAAGAAGAGTTAAACAATTTAGGGAAAATTGGCTTTTTTCAACCTCAACTTTCACAAAATGTTAAATTTATACCAGAACTTATATATGGTGCTTAATCATACTTAATTTTTTAATTAATTTGAATTTCATCCTTAATATTATTTTTTTGTGCGTAAACCTTTTTTTGTGAAACGGTGTTAACATGCCGTCAGACGTGGTCTACATGGACGACACGTAAGAAACGACTTCGTTTTGTTATGTTAAAGTGTTAAAAAAAATTTTACAAAAGGACGTCATTTTTGCTACTCGAAACCTGATAAAATAAAAAAACAAAACTATGCCTTTTTTAAGTTTTTTCTTGTCTCGTCTTCAACCTCTTGACTTTAACTCAGACATGAATAAGAATTTCAAAATCCAGTTCTTCAACCTCTTGAAGGAATGTCTTCTTCGAGCAAACCAATTTTGACAAAAGAAAACAGAGTGATAAACTAACAAAAGACAAGACGCAGAACCCAAGCTCTTTCACATCATAGATTCTTCAGTTTTTTACGCTTGTTTGAATCTGCTAGAGATGTTATTCATGTGGTAACTGACCATATCTTAAGAAATTTTCTATCCTCAAGTAAAACTCTATATACGAAACACCAGCTCTTTTGGCGGTGATTCAATTGCCAACCAACAAGGAAAACAAAAAAAAAATTGTCTTTGCAAATGAGAAAATGTGATAAAAATTGTATAAAAACATACAGCCGGTGACGTGACTGAGGACAATGAGAAGACTCTGTCTTCAGGCTGAAACTTCCTTGACCTCTTATCACTACAAAATGAGTTCATACCAAAGTCAATTAATTCACTTTACATAAACAAAAACCCCAGAAGCTTAAACATTTTTCTTGAAAGGAACAGCAATCAATTCACAACAATCAGTGCTACAAAACAGATATTGAGTCCGTACTAAGAAATTTGTCTATTGATAGATATTTCATCTAGAAATGATGGATTAACAAGTGTTTGAACCTGTAAACAGAACATTATCAAGTTTCAATTTTTCCTCTACAAAGCAAGAGAAAAAGAAGAGAACGAGAGAAGCCGAGCTTTTCGAGGAAGAGAGGAACCCTTCAAAGCCCTTCAACGCATTTCCTATATGAGTCGATTCTTGAAGATAGCTCTCCAATTCATAAACCTAAGAATACAAAGAACCTTAAAAATTTTCTCTCGAGTATGGGCACTATTACGATTTCTCTATGAAATGGACAAATTCCAAGTTCTGAATTTACATTGCTCGAGAGACTTTTATGAGCCCTAACCTATTTCTCGATGCTCCGCAACTCTTGCCGGAGCTTCTCTCGCTTGTTCAAGAGAGAAGTAAGCATCGCACCAGGATCCACCGAACTCTTTTGCCCTAAAGACATTTCAGGGGATTTTTTTCCCCAAATCGATCAGCTTTTGCCCAATCCGGAGATGGGTTTTCGCTAAAATTGAATGCCTGACCTGACTTGAGTCGATTGTGACGAAGATGATTGTTTGGGGATACAAATTGCGGGTTTTCAACGGTTAACATCGTGTTTCAATGTTTCCTTGGAAGAAAATTCTTTTTTTTTGGTCAAAGGGGAAGAAAATTCAATCTCGCAAAATTCTATTATCTTTTTCATTTATCTTTATTTGGAAATTCCATCTTGGACGCCACATACACTAGATCTGACGGCAAGTTCACACTGTTATTCCAAAAATTGGTTTACGCACAAAAAAGTAATATTAAGGCTGAAATTCAAATTAATTAGAAGATTAAGTATGTTCAAACATCATACATAAGTTCTGGGATAAATTTAACATTCTCCAAAAGTTAAGGTAGAAAAAAGCCAATTTTCCAACAATTTAGAAAGGGTGTGATAGAATTATAGAGAAATCATGCATGTACATATTTATACTAAAATATTTGAAGTCGAATACACTAATCTAGACATCACAAATACCATTATTCCATTAGACATTTTATTTATAGATTTTTAATTTTTTTTAAAAAATTTTTACTAAGTTTTGGTTTTATAAAATTTAGAAACGGTTTGATTTGACAGCGAAATAAAGCATTAAACCACAATTATTTAGAACAATTTGTTTTAAGTTATTTTTAACACATCATCAGATAAAAACCAATAAAAAATGACACATAATCGGTAAATGGGATAAAAAATATATTTTTGCAGCCGAAACTCATTCTGAAACTGACACGTAAGCGTAACACTGTGAAAATCGATGTGAGTACTATACGTAAGCAAATCACTACACAATTAAGTATATAGATGATAATGGAATGAAGTATTAAACCACAATAATTTAGACCGATTTGTTTTAAGTTATTTTAATACATCATCGGATAAGAATCAATAAAAAATGATATGTAATTAAAAATGGGGTAAAAGACTTTTTGCAACTGAAACTCATTCTGGAGTGACACGTTCGTAAAGACACTCTGAAACTCGCTGTGGAGCCGAAACCTAAGCAAATCACTATACAAATAAGGGATATTCCATTAGTTAAAAATGATTTTTTTTTGTTTCAACGATATTCCACTAGTTAGATATATAGATTTTTTTTTTACTTTCTTGTTAGATTTTTTAATTTAAATTTTGAATTTTATAAAATTTTAGAAACAATTTGATTTGACAGCGAAATTAAGCATTAAACCATAATAATTTAGAACGGTTTGTTTTAAGTTATTTTTGACACATCATCATATAAGAACCAATAAAAAAATGACACGTAATAGCTAAATAGATTAAGAATGTCTTTTTGCAGCCGAAACTCATTCTAGCGATGACACATAAGCGAAATACTTTGAAACTCGCTGTGATCACGACACATCAGCTTTTCACTATACAAATAAGTACATATATAGATATCCACAAAATTAAATTTTGCAATTCAAAATATTAATTTTTAAAATAGATTGTATATTCAATATAATAAATATTCTAATTTATTTTTTAAAATTAAATATAGTTTGTTTTATTTTTATTTTTTTATATATCAAATCTAAGTTTAACAAAAAAATATTATACTATTTTTATATATAATTAAAAAAGATAAAATTAATTTTTTATAGTTCGTGGATAGACCATAAAACTCAGTTAAGTGGTGTAAATTAGAATCGATGATATAAAATTATAATATTTTGTGTATTAGCTTGAATAATATTTTAATCTATTGTTTACGGGTTAAATAAACAACTTATTTTGTTTTATTCATACTATTTATTATCATTTTAAAAAATATTATAAATTTTATTAGTTAATAATAAATTAGATTTTTATTTGATGAATGTACATTTTTTGTGTGATATTAAAATATGCATATTTATATATACTAATAAATTTTAATAATTAAAATTTGATTAATTGTTAAAATAATATTTAAGATATTATAATCAAACGTATTACGCAGGTTAATTCCTAGAATAAGTTTTTGAAACGCAAGAGCAACGTAGAGACTAGAGAGTAGAGAGCACGACAATCACTCAATAATTAAATATTAACATTCTATTAAATTATCTGATAATAAATGATAGAAATTGACAGTAAAATTAACGTAAATATTCAATTAATTGGATGTATATAATAATTTGTTTAATTTTACAAGTTCGGTCAATAACAATGCAAGTGAATGACAAGTTTGGCTCATCAATAACATGACAGTCTACATGAAAATTTAAGAGTCAAGGGTCAAACTAGCAATGCAAAATCTATTCTTCTTCTTTTTTCTCTCGTCTTTGATTTACTAGTCAACGTCGTATCTGACTCATATCCAGGCCTTGAATTGATAAATTATGTCGATGTTATGACCAATAGGATTGTGTGTGTGACCTATTGAGATCTTTAGGTGATGCAAATTAAATTCAATTCAATCTACAGGCAAGAGCCTCGAAACTTCATCAAATCATTTGATTTTTTTTTTTTTTTTTTTTTGGAGAAATTAGCTGTCTGGATACTAATTTTCCACGCTGAAACGTACTATAGTTATCCATTAAAACACACATCCTAAATACCGAGCCGAACTCATGTAGTACATACATGCATGATAATGATCTTAGTAATATGGCGTCGAGTAAAATTGTAGTGGAGGTTCAATAGCAATTGCCAAACTTCTACAATTTTAAAAAAGAAGTGCCTTTAAACAAGTGGTTAAAATATTTGTAATAAATATAAATATGTAAATTATATATATATATATATTATAATAATAATTAAACAATTTGTATTTGATGGAATGTCATATCATTTTCTTCGGTTTCTTTATCGATTTACAGATAATAGATTAACATTTTCATTTTTTTTTGTTTGGTTTGGTTGATCGCCTGATCGGTATACATCAAAATAATATATATCAAACGGTCTATTTTAGTAATATAAAGAATTAAAGATAATTCTTCAAACTTCGTTCTATTTAAAAAGACTAGATATGTGTATACCAATCATCAATGTATGCGTGATCGTCTATAATGTAAGTATTATGTATGTACATGGCAATTGGCAATTGCAAGACATTATCATACAGTGTAACAGTAATGTCATGCAACGTCAGGAGCGTAAATAATGTATTATATTTACTTGACTTCAGATGCGTATTCAATTAGGCATGCAAATAATATATATATATGTATATATATACCATGTAAGCTTGGCGGCATTATCATTGGCCTTTTCGCTTTTAATATTCGAAAAAAAAGTTTCTCAAAGGCCATAATAATATTGACCAAGCTCGTATATTAATATTACTTTGTTCAAACTGCTCGTATATTATTTAATTAATTACATGATAGCAAAATATTCTTAGGTTCCCATCCAACTTTACCTTACTCATACTCATATGATAAATATGTATAAACAATGGAAAAATGCAACAAGATATTTGATTGCTCTATGCATACGTACAGTTTTTTATATACAAGAACTGCCGTTAGTTCTTGAGATTTCTATTCACGTACTTGCGTTGAAGATAATTTCATTTAGTTTGTGACCAGATGCACAACGCTATAATCCTTAAAATATTTATCAGTACTTATCTCTTGTAAAATATTTCTTAGCCTTGTCTCGTAGATTCCAATAATGAATCATAAAGTAAGATTAAGATATTTTCTACAGTGAGATAAGATAGAACTACTTAAATATCTTTTGAGTCTTGACCTTTTCAAATAATCAGTTAAATAATGTCGACATGAGTTACAAATTTACAATTTTTAATTATTTTTTTCAGAAAAGAGTTTAATGGCATGAGTTACATACTAAAAAGTAAAAATCCCTATATATATGATGTTTATAATTAAATCCCTATATATAATTATAAAACCTTCTTTAAAGTAAACGACGTAGGTAGCTAAATTTCTCACTCATCACATTTGTTTTTTTATGAATATAAATCGCAAAAGGGTTTAATTAGGACGAATAGGGCTTTTCATATAAAAAAGTAGAGGCACAAAAAAGAGAAAACAGATTAACGACAAGATAATGTTAACATCGAGGGCATGGATCATCGCTTCAGGTTTGGTCGGAGCTATATCACTGATGCTCCGATCGGCGTTGAACTTCTCCGTCACCGGATCTCACTTCTCTCTCCCTAGTTTAAACCCTCTCTTCATCATCATCAACGGAATCATCTTCGCTCTCGCCGCCTCGGCTTCTCTCTTCGGCCATGGATCTGACTCTCCGGCCACGGAACACCACCATGATGATGATGATGTTGATCACTACCATTATGAACATGATCATCATTATCAGCGTGACCATAACCTTGACCATGACCGTTCTTCGAAGAACCTTGATGACCATGACCGTTCTTCGTATGATCGATACAGTAAGAAGGTTCACGAGGAAGAAAAGTTTCCGGTGAGATCAGAGAGTGGAGGATCTTATGGTGTTCATCGACCGGTTACTTCTCCGGAGGTTCATTTTCCGTCAACGATGCCGCCTAAAAAGGCTGCCGGACTCCGACGTCCACCTACTGCTCCAAAGACTTTTCCACAAGGTATGTATTATCCGTTTATGTATGTTTATGTATGTTAGAACTTGTTAAATGTTAATTATATATACTTGGAACTTCTATCAGTCTCATCTCTATATATTTCTATTTTCTTTTTTTTTCTGTAAAAAATATACAAAAGGTTAGAAACATGTAAAGGTAATTCTATAGATAATACTTTGTATAATTTTACAAATCCAATTAAACATATATAGAACTTTGGTCCGACTAATCCATGAACCATATATATTGATACAGATAATTATTTTGAAATTTTATTTATTCAAAGCATATTGTTTATTTTTTTAATGGGCAAAACATAAAGTAACACTTGCATGTTAACTTAAAATTTATAAAAGTAAATTAAATTGGAATGAGTATCTAATTAGAACTGTAATTTTTGTAACTAAAAACTACAATTTGTTACCAATATATGATATTTTATGTGGAACTTGCATTAAACACCACTAAAAATTAAACTAACTACAAATTTGTATAAACTTGTATAAATGGATTAAATCAGATGACAAATCGGGGGATGAGAACGAGACGATGGAGGAGATGTGGAAGAGAGTCAAAGCCGAAAAACAACCAAAGAAAACTAACACGTGGAAATTAGGCCAAGTCATACGACGAAATGATTCAAGAATGTCTACATCTTCGTGTCCATCTCCGTCGTCGACGACGGCGCCGGGAATGAAGTTGATGAAAAGAATTCCGTCGTGGGTGAAATTGAAAAAAGAGTTATCGATGGGAAGAGATGAGCTCAATTCACGAGTCGAAGATTTCATTAATAAGTTCAAAGATGAGATGAAATTGCAAAGGTTGGAATCTCTAAGACGTTACAAGCTTTTCCGTGATCGGAGCGATGAAAAGTTATAGTATGTTTATAAATTATAACATGTTAACATGTTAATATTCAACATTTAACGGAATTGGTCTTAATTATTGTGTCATATAATGGTTACATGTGATCGTGTGTGCATGCGGCATGCTTTTAGATTTGTTATGTAGATTTTTTTTTCTTTTTTTTAACAACAAAAAACATCGCATATTATTAAGATTTAAGATGATTCAAATAGACTGGTTTGGGAGATCATCCAGTTCAAAATCACGTGACAGAGATGTTTCCACAAGAGAATTGACACGAAAATTTAAAATACGGGAAACAAAAAAGAAAATATCAAAATGACTGAAAGTGAAAGAATTGATCTATTATCAAGGCCAAGACGGCCCACTCTTCCTTATCTTCAATTAGGAAGAAAGTTTGGATTGTATAAAAATCCAATAAACTGGTTAACCATCTGAAAATAAACGAAAAGAAATTTTTTATAATGATACTAAAATAAAATATGAATTTCTTCTGTGGTTTGAGTTAATATTCATAATTAATGCCCTATTCTATATTTTTTTTCTTATTAGTTAATACTTTTTAACACTTAATTATATTCTAAATTCGCACATCTGCACAACACTTAAGTTTTTTGTGAATTTATATTTTCTAATATATAATGAGGAATAAAATTAGTTTAAGTGTAATTGATTTGGAATATATTTAATTTGTAATTTTTAAATTTATAATAGATTTAATAAATATTTGGAAACACGTTTAATAACTGTTTGGTAACATTTTCAATTTATTAAAAATAAATAAAAGGTGTTTGGAAAATATTTAAAAAATGTTTTAAAAATAGTATTGATAATAATTTGTAACTACAATGAATCATAATTGGGTTAACCGGTTTTTAAACAACCAGACCATAGTCAATTGCAAACATTTAGTTGAGAAAACCGGTCATCCAAAACTAATAATTTCATCAGATGAAACTCCATTAGATTCTCTCTGGTTTGTTTTTTTAGCATTTTTATTTATTTTCCAACGATGCCTCTTCCTTGACCAATTCAAAGGCATTTTGGCTGGTAAACCGGTCCAACCCAAATTCCCAAAGAAAAACAGCTTGAATTAATCACCGTCCAATATTTATATCTGTGATATGATGATGATATACAGTTTATTACCCTTATATTTAAATTAAATTCAATAATTATTCTAGAGTCCTTCCTTGTTCACATATCCTCTTCCTCCGTTTTAAATTCTCAGGTCAGTTTTTATTTTCCTTTCGTACTCTCGATTTACGAAATTTCTTCGCTATGATTTATTTCAGATATTGACATATATGTTTAATCTCGAATTCCAGAATCTGTTTTGTGATTTGCGAATCACTTTTCATAAGCAAGGATTGATTGTTTGTGATTTCCCGTAATTTACTTGGGTTTTATGGCTTTATTTGAACCAGTCACCTTGCTTGAGTCTTAGAGTTTGGTGTTGATTGATTCGATGTTATCTGCTAAATCTGAAAATTATGTTACTGTCTGGGCGATTGGAGCTTTTTTTTTTGTTAAACTGAAGAAGTCAGCTTCTTCTTGATAGATTGGAGTTCTGTTACCTGAGATCTGTTGGATGAAGAAAGTTTGGATTTTTATTGCTCCTAACAACATTTTGATTAGCCTCTTGATATGTTATGGTTTTCTTCTATTGGAAATTTCTTTTTAAATGTGTTTGGGGGATTAGAATTTGAAAGGGGAGCTCTTGTTTCGTTTGTGTGTGTGTCACATTCTCTTCTCCAGGAGATTGGCTTTTAGAGATTAAAAGAAGAAGATGATGGAGATCAGGTTATGGAATGACAAGCGTGAAAGAGAGATGTATGAGAATTTCGCAGAGCTTTTTGCTATCATCAAAGCCACAGAGAAGCTCGAGAAAGCTTATATCAGAGACTTGATCTCTCCTCCAGAGTATGAGTCCGAATGCCAGAAACTCATTGTTCACTTCAAAACTCTATCCGCTACACTCAAAGACACGGTCCCAAACATGGAAAGATTCGCAGACACTTACAAAATGCACTGTCCTGCTGCTCTGTACCGCCTCGTTACATCAGGTGTTCCGGCCACTGTGGAACACCGAGCTACATTAGCAGAAACTACGTCCAACTCTGCATCCATTGTTGCTGAATGTGTACAGAACTTCATAACGTCAATGGATTCCTTGAAACTAAACATGGTTGCTGTTGATCAGGTTTATCCTCTCTTGTCTGACCTATCGGCTTCTCTCAACAAGCTGAGTGTTTTACCGCTGGATTTCGAAGGGAAGACGAAGATGAAAGAATGGCTTTTGAGGTTGTCCAAGATGGGAGCAGCCGATGAGCTTACCGAACAGCAGTCAAGGCAGCTTCACTTTGATCTTGAGTCATCATATAACTCTTTCATGGCAGCTTTGCCTAAAGCTGGTAATTGAAACCAATGCATGTGGTTTGGTTTCTTGATTTTGTGTGTGTGCAAGTCTTTTGTTTTACTCTAGTCCAATGGTAACTCCCAAGACAAATCTACACGTTCAAGGAGTTGAATGTACCTGTGTGTAAAGAATCATACCATATTTTGGTTATATGAGGTTTACATAAAGCAAATACAAGTACAATGAATCAAGTTTAAATTGTGAAACTTCAAAATTTGATAAATCCAAAATTTATAGAACTACTTGAGCTCTGCACACTTCTAGAAGCTCTGTAGCTCAAATGGTAAAATTCACTGCTTTTTGGGGATTTTTAGAGACTCGTGAGATCGAAACATTTATTAAAGAAATATGTTTACTATAATCTCTATTTTACTCCTTGGGATGTTTGAATGAATATATAAAAAGTCGGTCCTAAGGTTTGTCCCACATCGACCAAATGAGATAATTTAGAAGGGGGAGTTGCACTATAAAAAAGAGTCTTCACCGACTATAGCTAGTTATCACTCTGCCAAGTTTGTGGGCCCATAGCTAGTTTAATGCGCGATCCACTCTAGTTTGGCCTGTTCTTGGGCCGTATAAATTTTAATGTCAACAATATTGGATCGAATCGAATTTGGACATCCGAAAACGTTCAACTTTCAGTTTGTGAACGGATTGAACAAGGATTAGGATACTTTGAATAGTCAGGATATTTGATTTTGTTCCACGCTTTACAATTCACAGTTTCGTTTTTGTTCCAGTTTCGTTTGATGAGCTTGAGGCCCCGGCCACTGATGGCTACTGTGCGTGATTGTGAAGAGGTATACAATATCATTCCGATCCACGATTTCTTGAGGGAACACCCGTCGCTTCATTACCCGGAGGTTCGAGCGGCGGCAGCGGCACTTAAAGTAGTTGGAGACCTCCCGAAACCGCCGTTCGTCGATTTCACACCTAGCATGGATTTGATGGACTGGCTCAGGCTTCTCTTCGGTTTCCAATTCGACAACGTTCGGAATCAGAGAGAGAATCTCGTCCTCCACTTAGCGAACTCCCAAATGCGGCTCCAACCTCCACCACGTCATCCTGACGGCCTCGATCCCACTGTTCTCCGTCGTTTTCGGAGGAAGCTGCTCCGTAACTACACCAATTGGTGCTCTTTCCTTGGGGTGAGATGCCACGTCACCAGCCCAACCCATAGCCGTCATCAAACCAACATCGTTTTGAATCTCCGACGAGAGCTTCTCTATGTAGCTCTGTATCTACTGATTTGGGGAGAATCCGCGAATCTCCGGTTTATGCCAGAGTGTCTATGCTACATATTTCACCACATGGCTATGGAGCTCAACAAAGTTCTTGACGGAGAGTTTGATGATATGACCGGAATGCCTTATTGGCCTTCCTTCTCCGGTGATTGCGCCTTCCTCAAGAGCGTGGTTATGCCGATTTACAAGACGATTAAGACAGAGGTTGAGAGTAGCAACAATGGGACGAAGCCACACTCTGCCTGGAGAAATTACGACGACATTAACGAGTATTTCTGGAGCAAGAGGGCCATCAAGAGCCTTAAATGGCCTCTTGATTACACCAGTAACTTTTTCGACACCACACCCAAAAGCAGTAGAGTAGGGAAGACAGGATTTGTGGAGCAGAGATCATTTTGGAATATCTTTAGAAGCTTTGATCGGTTATGGATTTTACTGCTTCTCTACTTGCAAGCTGCTATTATCGTTGCTACAAGTGATGTTAAGTTTCCTTGGCAAGACCGTGATGTGGAGGTCTAAAAAGCTTTTCCTTTGTTTTGATCTATATAACGTAAAGTGTGTTTTGATTTGGTATTTAAAGGCATGATCTGTTCTTGTACTTGCAGGTTGCATTATTGACCGTTTTCATCTCCTGGGCGGGATTGAGGTTGCTCCAGTCTGTGCTCGACGCTAGTACACAATATAGTTTGGTGAGCAGAGAAACGTTCTGGCTTTTCGTCAGGCTAATTTTGAAGTTCTTTGTGGCTGCAACGTGGACAGTTTTGTTTTCGGTCTTCTACGCAAGGATTTGGAGCCAGAAAAATAAGGATGGTGGTTGGTCCCGAGCTGCAAACGAGAGGATAGTCGTGTTTCTTAAGGTAGTTTTTGTGTATGTTATGCCTGAGATGTTAGCGCTTGTGCTATTTATTGTTCCCTGGATAAGGAACTGGATCGAGGAGCTGAATCTTGGACTTGTGTACTTTCTAACATGGTGGTTCTATAACAAGACTTTTGTTGGTCGTGGGATGAGGGAAGGCCTAGTGGACAATATTAAGTATTCAATTTTCTGGGTTGTTGTATTGGCCACTAAATTCACATTCAGTTACTTCTTACAAATCAGGCCATTAATTGCTCCGACCAGGGCACTACTGAACTTAGAAAATGCAACATACAATTGGCATGAGTTTTTTGGCAGCACTCACAGAATAGCGGTAGGGATGCTTTGGCTCCCTGTTCTATTGGTTTACCTAATGGATTTGCAGATTTGGTACTCGATCTACTCATCCCTTGTAGGTGCAATAATTGGTCTTTTTTCCCACTTGGGGGAAATCCGGAACATTGATCAGTTGAGACTTAGATTTCAGTTCTTTTCAGGTGCTATGCAGTTTAACCTTAAACCTGAAGAGCATCTCCTTAGCCCTAAAGCTACTGTTCTTAAGAAAGTACGTGATGCTATTCACCGGCTCAAGTTGCGGTATGGAATTGGTCAGCCTTTCAACAAGATTGAATCTAATCAAGTTGAAGCGACTTGGTTTGCCTTGTTATGGAATGAGATAATCCTCACATTTAGGGAGGAAGACCTGATCAGTGACAGGGAAGTTGAGCTACTTGAGTTGCCGCCAAATTGTTGGAATATTCGGGTTATTCGTTGGCCGTGTTTCCTCCTTTGCAATGAGCTCCTACTTGCCCTAAGCCAAGCAAATGAGCTTGGTGATGCTCCTGATCACTGGCTTTGGTCGAAGATTTGTAGCAGTGAGTATAGGCGTTGTGCTGTTATGGAAGCTTTTGATAGCATCAGATATGTGATTCTTAAAATTGTCAAAAATGGCACAGAGGAAGAATCTATACTGAATAGGTTGTTCGCGGAAATTGACGAAAACGTGGAAAACGGAAAGGTAACTGTGGTATTTAAATTGTCAGTTCTACTTCGGATTCATGAAAAGCTAATATCACTTCTTGAGCGTCTGATGGACCCAGAAAAGAAAATATTCAGGATTGTGAATATACTGCAAGCTCTGTATGAACTCTGCGCATGGGAATTTCCAAAAATTAGGAGGAGCACTCAGCAGTTAAGGCAGCTTGGCTTGGCGCCCATTAGTTTGGATGCAGATACCGAATTGCTGTTTGTCAATGCCATTAATCTCCCTCCTCTTAATGATGTTGTCTTTTATAGGCAGATTAGGCGGGTCCATACGATTCTTACTTCCAGAGATCCAATGCATAATGTGCCCAAGAATCTTGAGGCCAGAGAGCGTCTTGCTTTCTTTAGCAACTCTCTTTTTATGAATATGCCCCAAGCTCCTAGTGTAGAAAAAATGATGGCTTTCAGTGTGTTAACTCCTTACTATGATGAGGAAGTAATGTATCGACAAGAAATGCTCCGAGCAGAGAATGAAGATGGAATTTCCACCCTTTTCTACCTTCAAAGAATATATGAAGATGAATGGGTGAATTTTGTGGAGCGGATGCGTAGAGAGGGAGTGGAGAATGAGAATGATATTTGGTCAAAGAAAGTTAGAGATCTTCGCCTCTGGGCTTCGTATAGGGGACAAACATTGTCCAGAACAGTGCGAGGGATGATGTATTATTATAGTGCCTTGAAGAAGCTTGCCTTTCTTGATTCTGCTTCTGAAATGGATATCACGATGGGAACTCAGATTGCTCCTGAGCCACGCCGTTCTTACTACACAAGTGATGGTGGGGATAACACACTGCAACCAACACACTCTCAGGAAATTAACAGAATGGCTAGTGGTATAAGCCATTTGTTTAAAGGGTCCGAGTATGGGAGTGCTATGATGAAGTTCACGTATGTTGTGGCATGCCAAGTTTATGGGCAACATAAAGCAAAAGGGGACCATAGAGCTGAAGAGATCTTGTTCCTGATGAAAAATCATGAGGCTCTTCGCATAGCATATGTTGATGAGGTTGACTTGGGAATGGGTGAGGTCGAGTTCTACTCAGTTCTTGTGAAATTTGATCAACACCTTCAGAGAGAGGTGGAGATCTATCGCATCAGACTACCAGGGCCCTTGAAGCTTGGCGAAGGAAAACCAGAAAACCAAAACCATGCTATAATATTTACACGAGGTGATGCGATTCAAACAATTGATATGAATCAAGATAATCATTTTGAGGAGGCGCTTAAGATGAGGAATTTGTTGGAATCTTTCAAGAATCACTATGGCATTAGGAAGCCTACTATTCTTGGAGTCCGTGAGAAAGTTTTTACTGGTTCAGTATCTTCACTCGCATGGTTCATGTCTGCTCAAGAAACAAGTTTTGTGACTCTTGGACAGCGTGTTCTTGCCAACCCGCTGAAAGTGAGGATGCATTATGGTCATCCTGATGTATTTGATCGGTTTTGGTTCGTCCCTCGGGGTGGAATTAGCAAGGCCTCAAGAGTGATAAATATCAGTGAAGATATATTTGCTGGATTCAATTGCACTTTAAGAGGTGGAAACGTGACTCATCATGAATACATCCAAGTAGGCAAGGGAAGAGATGTGGGTTTAAATCAGATATCTATGTTTGAAGCAAAAGTAGCCAGTGGTAATGGCGAGCAAGCATTAAGCAGAGACGTTTATAGGTTGGGTCACAGGCTGGATTTCTTTAGAATGCTCTCTTTCTTCTACACAACAGTTGGCTACTATTTCAACACAATGTTGATAGTATTTACTGTTTATGCATTCTTGTGGGGTCGGCTTTATCTAGCGCTTAGTGGTGTTGAGAAAATAGCCAAAGATAGGAGTAGCAGCAATGAAGCTCTTGGTGCAATCTTGAATCAGCAATTTATTATTCAGTTAGGACTTTTCACTGCACTTCCAATGATTCTTGAAAACTCGTTGGAGCGTGGATTTCTTCCAGCAATTTGGGACTTCATAACAATGCAGCTACAACTTGCATCCTTTTTCTACACATTTTCCTTGGGAACTCGAAGCCATTACTTTGGTCGGACTATACTCCACG